TCTTCATGTAAATCCTTGAAAGATGCAAACAAATCAAGCTCTTGGAATATCATTGTTGCTAGTTGAAAGTCATTAATGGGAACAATTTCACCGGGCAACACTTTTAGCACTATTTCAAAGCTGTTAGGTAGTAACGTACTCATCTCTAAAGGCTCATTTGATTTAATACTAGTTGCTGGATTTTCCATCTTGTTAGGCTCCACAACAAAAAAATTGTTTGGATATTCACTTTTTAATTTAGCCTCTGGACAAGTAAGTAGCGTAGTTGCTTGGGATTGTATTGATTCTTCTACTTGATTTCCTTCATCTTGAATTATTCGATCAGTTGTTGCTTTGGGCTGCCTTTGATGAATCTTCTTTAGCTGCACAGTAGAATCTAAATAACTTTGAGTTTTACCCCTTTGTAAAGAAGAAACCCTTGATATACCTACTTGGTGAAGGAAATTTAGGTATATTTCCGTACCAAGTGTCACTTAGAATGCATGCTCTAAGTTGTATAGTGGCTGCCCAAGTATTTTTGCCTTTATATTTGCTCTTAAACCAGCCTTGAATCGAGCAATTAATTGACAAGGTTCTTCTACGATATGGTTTTTAAACATTAGGTCTTCAAATCTTTGAATATACTCTATAACAGATAGGTTACCTTGTTGCAGATTAATAAGTTGTTTGCACAACTTGTTACTATAGTTTGAGGGCATATACTTCTGTTGAAGCTTAGTTTTCATCTTTTGCCATGTGTTTGTAGGAGGTTGTCCCAATTTTCTTATATCTCCTTCAACACCAAACTACCAAATTTTTGCCAAGCCTACAAGTTTCATCTTGGCAAGCCTTACTCTCCTCTCATCTGAGAAATTATACCTAACAAAATAGTTCTCTATAGAAACAAGCCAACTAGAGAATATTGTAGAATCATCCCTTCCATCAAAATCTTGGATCTCCATCATCATATATCAATATTTAAGCCGCATAACATAGGATTTTTCGGCTCTGATAACAAATTGATGTAGGACAACTTTGTAAAATAAAAAAATAAGGACTGTTTAGGGGCTGTTCAGGGACTGTAAATAGTAATGGGGCTGTGAACAGTAAGTTTGGTTAGGAATCACTCCTAGGGTTTCGTAGGCATCACACCCAGGATTAGAATTGCATCACACAGTTCAAGAAACATGTAATTGCTCAAAATTCTGAATATCTCTCTCCATTTATTATTAAAAGTAACACCAACTATATATAGAGTTCTAAGTAATTCTAATCCCAAAAGATTAGGATTCCAAAGTCTCTAGAACTTCAAAAACACTAGGTTCCTACAAATTAGAAAACTAAAATTAATTAGAACTAGGACTTTAAATTCTAGAATATTCAATACTAGAATTTGACCCAAAAATATGACCTATTTCAGAAATTCCAAAAATTCCAAAAATACCCCTGACACTAAAAATATTAAAAGGACATATAAAATATTAATACTAGCAAATTGACTTAATATAAGAATGCAAGGTTCCATATGGATCTTTGTTTTGATGGAAAGTCAATTCCATTATCTTTCACATCTTCGAATTTGTGTTTCCTTGAACCTCTTATGGATTGCATCACATCCCCAATACCTCTTGTTAATAAATCTTCTTGAAGCTTGTAAAACAACTAATGGCATAACCGTTGCATGGTTAGACCTATATGATCGACTTTGGAAGACGAGGCAAAAGGCCAAGACTTTCTGAAGTAAAAAGAAAAATGTACATGGCAGACTATCCTTAACTTTTATAATTTATTGTTTAGAAAGTATTTGGTGGAATGTTAGTAGGAGAGTAGTTTTGGAATTGGTAGAAGACTATAGTTTATGCTTCTTGTTTTTGTTTCTTTACCATCATTGGAGTTGGACGGCTTGTCTACTTTTGTTTGGTTCTTGCAATACTTTCATTTCTATTATTAATAATATTGACGGTCTCTTATCGAAAAAAAAAAAATGGTAGGAGACCGGGTCTATAAATAATCTTACCAGATTGTGAATCAAGTGTTTCTTGGCTTTATTCTTGTGGGGATATGATAATCTCATTCCATTTGTTCTTTTCCTTCCCTCCTTGCATCAACAACATAAGGCAAAACAATATGTGACTAGTCGGGAGGTTGGAAATAGTGTTTTTTAATTAGAGCATCTTCCCCCTTAGGAAGGAAATTGGCTTTTCATCCTTTAAGCCTCTTTTTTAATTTCTCAGCCATCAAAATCCCACAAGGAAATGGTTGTGCATGAAGGGCTAAGAGGAAGGCCTAGATAGGTAATAGGGAGGTTCCCCTGCACACTCTAGGACAACAGTCAATGAATCAATGCTCTCCACATACCCAATTGAATAGCTCTCTCTTCCCAACATTAACCTTCAAACAAAACTCAACTCAATAACAAGGAACAAACTTCTCAAATATAGCATATATGCTAAGAAGCACAAATGGGGGATCGGTTATGATACGATATGGCAAAAATTAAAAAAATAGGATACAAATATGGCCAAAATATTCTATAAAAATATATATTTTATATTTTTATTATTGTTTGACATCTTCATAATTATAATTTTCGGTAGATTCTTTAATAACAACACAAAATGTTAATTATTTTCACTTTTAAAGAAGTATAAATTGTCTCGTTATGGTATATCCACAAAGTAAACGTGAATAATCAAAAAAATCAAATCCGACATTTTACTATTTGCTTTGCTTAGAATTACTTTCTGCCAAGAGAAATGGTGAAATTAATACATTTTGTGCTATTGTGACGTATGATAGTAGATAATACAAAAGAAACACTCATGTATCTTTAAAGTTATATGAATTTTTCTATATGTGTTGCATTGTAAGTGAATTGGAGAGGAAATGGTAAATATTAAGACAATACATTCTATATATTGCTTTGCAATTCAAAATCCGAAGCATATTTATTTTGGATGCGTATCCGCAATGTATCCAAATGTTTTATTTATTATTGGATACGTGTAGGGTGTATCTGATATGGATCATCGAGAATCCGACAAGTATCGTATCCGTAATGTCATCAACAAAGAACTAATACTTGAATTGTTCATTCATTAATTTGTCGTCTTGTAGTTGGTTGAATTGGTGGAAGGGCTTTGGAGAGATAAAGTTGGTGAATTATGCATTTTGATTGATTGTTGAATATGACTATTTTGCATACATTTGTTTATCTAAGGGGGTTGTGCGTCAAATTGAGGGGTGTAAAACATGAATCGATTAATTAATTGACAAATGAATGAATTAGGTTATTAATTGGGCATAATTTCTGCAAAAACGAATGCTTAAGACCTATTAACCCTACTCTAGGTCAACCTAGGCAGACTCCACGTCTTTAGCAAACATTTTGGGGCGATCCAACTCGCACTCTCAATTGGTATCAAGGCATCAGTACCCCGAGAAGACTTTGTATGTATTTCTGAGAGTTTTGACCTAGTTTGTGTTTGCTTGAGGTTCTTCATAACAACCAGTTGTTATTGATGGATACCCAATGAGAAGGTGGCTCAACATCGGGACCTCTTTTGTTTGATGGAATCAACTATGTCTATTGAGAGGCTAGAATGAGAGCATTCTTTAAGTTCATACATGAGTATAAGTGTTGACCACTCAATGGGGATGGAAACCTCCTATCGAGACCACTGAGGCAGGTGAGACTGTCAAAAACCTGTTAACAAATAGACAAGGATGATTGGGGTGAGTGTTAGGAACTCGAAATGATCGAATGTGATATTCAATGTCATGTCTGCAAATGAGTTCCAGAGAATCTGTACGTGTGAGACTTCCAAAGAAGCATGAGGCGAAAAGTCTTATTTGTGACACCCATATAGTTTGTGTCTGACACACCATAGTGCTTGTCTTGCCATTGATCATTCTTCTTTGAAGCCGCAAAATGAGAGTGAGGTAATAAGGATCCCTCAGTGGCAGCAGGCCATGTCTGAGGAATTGCCAGTCTTGCAGAAGACGTCGTTCATTACCTTATCAGATATAGAGGAGTTCCAAACCACTTCCGGACGGAAAGACCAATATTGAGGGAAATTCAGACTCACTTTTGGTTGCGATTCTGGGAAGACTTTTATTCCTTCGTTCCCATTCATTCCCACTCGAATTAAAGGATCAGGCTTGTGGTAGTCTTCTGTGGGATCAGTTCCATCTCTTTCTTTCCTCCGTGCATCTAACTCCTCAGAAATTCTGTGGAGTTCCATAGTATTGTTCTCTTGAGTTAGAGAGGAGTTTGCTGACCAGGCCCTCCTTCCTCTATTTCTATTTTATTCACTAGTTCTAAGGTTGCCATTTCTACTTACTGTTTTTCCCAATTTATTAGAGTATAGGTGATGCCAAATATTGGTTGAGCTCGGGGAATCGGAAATAGACGCATACGAAGGAGAATTCACCCTATATAGAGGCCTTTTTAGAGGTTTCCCATGGGGGAACAAGTGTTGTAAAGAAGTCCAAACGTCGAAGGTTGATTTCTCAATATGAGGCACTTAGGATGAAGCAAAGTGAGACCTTCACTAAATTCTATGCACGACTTGGTGACATAGTAAATTCATCTTTCCCCCTACAAAGAAGTATGATGATATGGTCTAGCTGTGGAAGATATTGAGATATCTACCGGAGAGATTTCAGCCTAAGGTCACCACCATAAAGATAGCAAAGAAACCTTATAGAGTTTGGGCGATGAGTTTGGATATCGGGAAGTGATCCAAGAGTGTATCTATCGCCTCCTTTGATAGATCTCATTGTTTTAATTAAAATGTTGCATGAGGTAGAACAGTACGGCCAAAACCTAATTTGACATTTTATATAATTTCCCAAATTTCAGATCCTAATTTAGGTTATGGTTTTTGTAATGAGTGATATCCTATGTTTCCCACAGAGAAGAACTTACCAATGCCATGTTGTATGCTTGTTTTTTTCTGACAAGATGCGAATGTTATTTGTTTAATTTACAGGATATAAGAAAATTTTTCACTAAACACATGGTCAATGAGAATCTGGGTACGATCTGCCATGCTCATGTGGTTCACGCTGACCTCAGTGAATATGGAGCATTGGACGAGAAGTGCATCAAATTGGCAGAGCTTGCTGCCACAGCAGTTGATTTCCCCAAAACTGGAAAGATTGTCACCATGCCATTTGAACTCAAACCGAAAATGTTTCCCGACTTTATGGAGAAAGAGGAATTTCAGTCATACAAGTCGGAAAAAATTTTGGGCAAGCTATTCCGCCAAGTCATAGATGCTAATGACAAAGATGTGGTAGCTTCTGAGCTAAAATTTGTTCCTCAAGACATTCTTTATGATGCAGACCTTCATATCCCCGGATCCACAAATTTCATTACTGATGCGTGGAGCCATAAGTGCTCTTATGATGGGCGGCTAAATGGACTTCTGGGACTGTATAAAGTGCGCAGAGAGGAAGAGATTGTGACTGGGCACATTTGGTCCCTGCCAAAGTATAGTAGCAACAAGCAAGGGCAGCTGAAAGAGAGACTCAAACATGCTTACAGTGCCCTCAGGAAAGAGTTCAGGAAAGTTTTTGAGAAAATGGACTCAGATTTCGAACAACTTTCTGATGACGAGAAGAATGCCATTTATGAACAAAAGGCATCAGCATGGTATCAAGTCACTTATCATTCTTGTTGGGTGAAGAAGTCAATGGAGTTGCAAGAGCCAGATGGGGATGTGGAGACAGTAATGTTGAGCTTTGCTTGGATAGCAGTTGATTACCTTGCTCGGATCAAAATTAGGTGTGGCGGAGATGGAAATGCTGACCTCACTAAGCCAATCAATGCTTTTGCGAGGTACGTTGCTGATCGGATATGACGGATAATCAAAGCTGTTTGAAGTTTTCTTCTATCGTTGCTTCAAACTTTTCTGGACACGACGTTATGGTTGCTTTTGAACTTTCTGGCCTCAAGGCCACTCTGCCATGTTCTGTTATTGCCCTTGCCTTTATGCTTGTAGTGTTTTGCCTATTCATGCTATAAACTATGTATCTGTATTGTTATAAACATAATGTTGAAAATGCTGTACTTTTGCTTGCATTTTTTGGCTTGAATATCGTTAGCATTAACTTGTAAATTTATTTTCAATTTGTGGCAACTGGTGCTTGAATATGGGAGTATTTGAATGAGTTTCACAATCAAATACAACACCATTGAAATCCAAAATGAGACAGCTGCTCAGTGAATGGTGTTTTGTTGGGTTCTTTCGTTCATGAAGGTATTAATGAGTGAGAGACTCACTTGTATACAATGGGTTTTACTTAAATGCATGATTGATAATATTTTAAAAAAATAAAATTTGAAGAGAAAGTGTACTGAAGCGGATCTCATTCTATGAAAATATCCCAAATTCCCATTAGGATTAGGAGGGGACATTGCGCTACCGAAAAAAATTTGATACTGTTTATTATTTTTTTACTTGATTCACGTACCATTTTTTAGACTCATTTATTATATTTTTGGGTGAATTTTATCATTTTTTTTATAGAAAAAAACTAGTTACTTTTTGAAGTTTTTTCTCTTTTCGCTGTAGTACCAAAAAATAAAATTGTAGTACCATAACATTTCCTTGGAAAATGATATGGATAGTCTTCTTATGTCATGTTTAGGAAATGGTGTTCCCACAACCCCATCATCTTTACAATTCATTCACTCGTCGGTATAATACCGAAAAATGATGGGTGGATACCATTTTATTACTCCATGAGTAATTTTACTGTACCTTTTTTTTTATTTATTATAAATGGCGTTCCCAAACCCATAAAGACATTATAAAAATATAACTCATAAAACCAGTCAAGGTGTTTCTTAAGCATCTGATTTCAGATGCTTAATTTAAGAATGGTGTTTCTTATTTATTTATTTTTTGTTTATATAATCAATTTTCATATTCTAGTGAAAGCAAATCAAGCTTGATTTTACCAAAACCCGAGTTCGAACCTTAGCGTCGAAAAATACCATAAGAATCGATTCAGTGGCGAAGTTAGAAATATATTCTAGGGTGAACACATTCTAACTATAAGTTTTAATTTGTCTTCTAATAGGCAAAAATAATTTGATATATTTTTATTTTTTTTCATCATATTTAATAATTAAAGATTGATTAAACATAGATGAACCAAAAGCAAATATACAATAACTATGCAAACCAAAAAAAAAAAATGAAAAGAGGTTAATTATAACCCTTTACAAAAAATAAGGTTGATTATATAAGATATGTGATCAAATATCATTGACAAAGTTATAACTAGTAATATCAATACCAAGTTTGAAAGTTGTGGTGTGTGACACTTTACTGATTACTAGTGCTTTCTTTGTTTTTTTTTTGATAAATTGCGCTTTCTTTGTTTTAGTGTTTTTATGGAGAACTTGAAAATGTAGAGCTAGTTGTGTGTATGTTATTGTTACACTGTTCTCGATACACTGTATTTGATATACTATTATAATAGTGTGTAAATTCACTATCCATTAAATATTAGGTAGTTTTCAAGTGGACAAATAAAA